AGAAGGCTGTATGGAAGTATGGAGGTGTTCCATATGCACTCATCCACTGGTAGTATTGATTGACTGATTAACTGATTGATTGATTGATTGATTGATTGATTGATTGATTAGTAGGAGCAAAGTTCTGTGGCTGGTGTATGAAGAATAAACATGGCACAGCCAGAACAGGCACAAAAAGAATGAAACAGGGAAAGGAAAATAAGTGTGTTAAGACAGCAGTCATATACATGCTTACCTGGGAGTAAGTCTCGTATTTGCAGGCAGCCTCTGTAGGGATCACATGTGTGGGGCATGGCTGTCACGCACACTGGAAGCAGGAAGGGGCACTGTTAGCCTTGCAATGTACTAACTCATCAATCCTTACAGGATCCTGGCTGTATCTCATTCTTTTTGGTTAGAAAATGCTTTGCTAAATAAGTAAAACCAATATGGCAGTGCTGTGTAGCTGGAGTGTTGACCTTGGACACCTCAGTTCAAAAATCCCTGCTCAGCACCTTGAGTAAATCACTGTTTCCCTCAATGTAATAACAGAATAAAATGGGATGCACCCCACCCTGATCTCCACTGAGGAAAGACTCATTGTATATATTATCTTACTCTCTTGATTACTTGCTTCTCCAGCTATGAACAAAGCACAACGGCAATAGCAACAGCAATATAACAACAAACAAACAAACAAACAAACAAACAGGCAAACAGCAATTTTTAAAACCGGGCAGGAAACCAATATGACAAATGGAATAATATTCCTACTACAAAAGTACTACCTCTTTCAATGCATATTGCAAATACAGGCAAAAGCTAGGCCTATGAAATGTTTGCTTGACAGGAGCATGTAAGAGCAAGGGAGTCAGGTGGGGGAAACCACTGGTGACCCTTCAAAAATCCATTAAAAAATTCTGTGCCAACCTGTCAATTAAGTCTATGCAACTCCAATGCAACTGTGGTGACAGTAATCAGGTATGCTGAATCTCAACAGGTGACAAATTATGTTTCTCTCTCTAGCACAGCAGCTAATAACTACCAAAAATAAAAACAGCAACACACCAGAAGTCCTATCCACTAAGTAGAGTGAAATAAATAAATAAGACCCCTTGAAAAAGCCACACTTCAATTTCTAGGGCAAACTATTCTTGAGCTATGGTATGTCCATAATAATAATAATAAAATTAAAATTGCAAAGAAGGTATCTTTCGAATATGCCTTAGATTTCAAATTGCACATTCCAGAGACTCTTCTGATAGTCAGTCTTCAAACCTGGCCAAAAATAAATAGCTGAAATGGATGGAGCAGTTCAGAATACTGAATGAGAAGGAAATGTTAGACTGCCCCCACTTTATCTATCTCTACTGATGAATATCATTGAAGTGCCTTCATGTTAATTAATGTGATAATTGGAACTTTTTAAAAAAAAAGATTTAAAATAAAGGAAACCTGCTTCAAACCTTAATTATGCAACTGCCTCCTAATCAACATCCCTACCAAAGCTCAATTGTTCACACAAAGC